AGCCCACAGCGGCGAGAGGCGAGAGCGCAGGCTTGGAGGAGCGGAAACCGGTACCGGAAGACGGGCTTTCGGCTCGCCTCGACGCAAAGCGTCGCTGCGATCACCACTCACCTCAACTCGTCCGTGCAAGTTCATGTAAACTCGGGCGCGTCGAGGTAAGCTGAACCCGCCACTCAACTCAGCCCGCCCCCGTCGCGTCCATGTACACGGGGCTATAGACCCTCTACGGCTAAGCGGTGCAGCCCCTGCCATAATCCGTGGTAACGAGAAACGGGGTCTGGGCTTCACAATGAGGTAGCGAAGAAAAGAGTTCCTTTGGGTGCTCGAGCTGCCTATTCAGACGCCGCGGAAGCCTCGGAGAGGGTATTGTTAACTCCCCCAAGATTGCCCGCTTCGTGGTCATTTGAAGCAAAGACGCGGGGCGAATTTTCGCTCAGTGGCCGATCTACCGAAGACACGCCGGCAGTCACTGTTGTCGTCGCGGGGTCACGGAAACACAGAGAAGTGTTTACGGCTGTTCCATCGTGCCGAAGCACCCTCGCCCCTTCGGTGTCTTGGGTGGATCGCTAGCGTGCGACGAGGGCGCGAGCGAATGGATTTCGATTAGAAGGGGATAGCACGGTGATGGTTTCAATGAGCGAAGAGGTTCCGACTGTCAACGTGAAGTGCCTCCGTGACGCCTTCAGCACAGACAGCACCAAGGCAACTAATACGACGTGGATCGCGACTAATACGACGTCGTATTACGTCGCGCATGTAAATGTGCGTGAGACTTCCATGTCATTCGGAACCGCGTCGTTGACCGAAACAAGCTTCACGTTTGATGTGTTGGCGTCTAATTCAGACGTGAGCGTCTGGGCGTTTGTCATGACCGTCAGAATCGTGTTTCTGCAAGGGCAGTTGGAACGGGTATATTGTGTGACAGAAGTGAGATGCATGTGATCGAATGTTAGATGGTGATTTCAAACTTTAATTCGCACATGAGTGTCCACCACGCCAGCAGTGGCGCGTATGATGTAGTTGTTGATTGAATAAAACAAAACAAAAAGTCACTCTCCTACAACTCTGGCGGGTAGCACGGTTCGGCTCAGCTCTTACAGGAACAGGGAAAGAGGGACGCAAAAAGGAGGAAGGGAAAGGTAGAGGAAGAGTGAGGTGGCAGGGCGCAGGTGCTTCCCTACGATGGAACAGCCGGAAAAACTACGCACATTCCATCACGGGCGCGTGGGTGCGTCACCAGCACGTCACCTACAGGCGTGCACGTGACCTACAGAGAGGAACCAATAGCGCGCGAGCAATCCTGACGCTGGCGCTGGCGTCCTCCTCGCACTCTTTCTTTTCCCTCTTTCTTGCGATGCGCGGCCAGCAATACACTGGCCGGCCATGCATGCCACCTGGGTCACACAAAATGCTCACAACTAAATTTAAAAATTGATCTTCAACCTTGAATTTCTCCACTAAAACTGAACTTGTGAATGTGAAACATATATGGTTCTCAAAGTGCGGTGTGTCAATTTAGGCAAAATCATTGTTTAATTCTATACCCTCTAGTCATTTGTGCAAGAATATTCCTTCGATACACATTTTAAAAACTTCGGCTACATGTCGTATAATTGTATACTCAACATTCTTTAGGTGTTATCAATTCCATCGGCGCTTTTCATGTGCTCTTTTGGAATGTACGACGGTACACACAAGAAACTGGAAAACGCTGCCCAGTGTACTCGCAAGCACAAATAAACTCGCACTTCTCGCTTCTTTCGGAATGCTGCTGGTGTTCAACCTTCGACCTTGAAGATTATGAGCGCCTCTCAAGCGTAGGTGCTGGCCAGGAGGTGGCACACCGGGCACTTGCCCCCCTCTCACCAAAAAAAAAAGTTATTTTTGCCGTGGCAAAGAGAGAGAGAAATGCCCATCTTAGGGGGTGTCCTTCCCGAAAATAGGGTGGTCCCCCTAACAACCCTCCTCCAAAAAATATATCAGGTTACGCGCCTCCACAACTGACCAAATAGTGCCACTATGAAATCTACGTCAGAGGAAGCTTCGTTATGTGATAGAATGCTAGGAGCCCCAATCCTCAACTTCACCCACTGCTCATTCACACTGACGTCACCATGGTTTTAGCCAAGATGGATTCAAACTTAATAGAAAAATTTTCACTTTTGCTTGCATATATATATATATATATATATATATATATATATATTAATATATATATATATATATATATATATATATATATATATATATATATATATATATATATATATATATATATATATATATATATAAGGGAAAGAAGTTTATACTAAGAGGCCCGTTTTCCCGTGTTTTGACGTAATAATAATGAGATCTAACAGACAATATTGCCAAGGAATGTATAGGGAAAGTTATTAGGCCAAATGTATTGTAAATATGAAGCAAGAAAAGTGGGTGAAAAGACAACTTGCCGTGAGCGGGAACCAAACCTGCGACTTTTGAATAGCGCGTTCGATGCTCTACCACTGAGCTACCTCGGCGGCTATCGGCCCAGCCACATATTGGGTTTATATGTGAATTTAAACGTGGGAGTGTCAGTCAGCGCCACCTGTAGCCACAAAGGCGATTGTGGCTGTTTGGCGTCACCTAGCACGTGAACTTATTAGGTGCGGGCTGGTGGTTGACCTATGGACCCTCGTAAACAACCAAACGGCACCAAGTTTGCCAGTACTAGACCCTTGTTAAGGAATAAGGGAAAGAAGAGTATACTTAAGGGCTCGTTTTTTCGTGCTTTTACACAATAATAATGAGTTCTAGCTGACAATAATGGCAAGAAATGTAAAGGGGAAGTAATTAGACCGATTGTAATGTAAATGTGTAAATGTGAAGATATATATATATATATATATATATATATATATATATTCACACATACAAACACATGCACGAGCATATAAAATATGAATGAGCCTCTTCCCCCCCCCCCGGAGAAAATTCCTAGCTGCACTACTGAACGTTACCTATGTTGACTTTCCACATGGTAAACAGTTTACCGGTAAAAATACCTTACGCTACATTTTAAAATGACTACAACGACAGCAGTTTTCAACACTCGAGAAATTTGCTTACGCCGAAACACGCCCCACTCGGTTTTCGGACAAATGAAATAAACTCGTTGACCTAACTTTAATTGAGCATTAGACGTCTCTATAAAAACAGGGGCATGTGGATTGTACACCAACAACACTGCGTTTTCTAGAGCCGACAAGTTCAAAGTTGAAACTCCTAGTTCAAACGGCCAGCTACAAAAATTTTGTTCTTTTAGCGATCTATTTGCGTCCATTTTTGCCTGTAAAATACTATTACGAGACCGATGAGAAAGCACGTGAGCTAAATTTTGGCGAGCACTGACATGTTTCAAAAAACTATCATTTTAAAACTGAGAGAGAAACTGAGACGGTGTGTGCGAGTACTGCCGACGTGTTTTTTAAAGCAGTTATCCACCATGTAAATATTATCGACGCAGTTGATTTCAGGCGTCTCTACTGCACGTGATTATCAGCTGTTTTAACTGCAACGACGAATAGCGCTTGTTCATCAGCGAACAAAAATAGTCAACCTTTAGAGCCCGGTCAGCTGTTCCTTTTTTGTTCTTTGCAAGAGCCACGCACAAACGCTGGAAACCTTTTTTTTTTACTATTGCGCACCATGGTTAATTATTTGAAGACAGTTTTATGGTGCGTGTTCACTGTTTCGGTTTGAAAAAGCTCGTTTCATGCAAACGTACAGTCGCAACGCAAAACAAATTAGCATCCGATAGCGAGATTGTCATGCACATTCCATTTTGCAAAAAAAAAAAAAATGGGGTGGTTGGCAGGCAGCAGACAAACTTGCTGTTTGCCCTTCGAAAACTCTATATCTTAAGAAAGTGCTTGTACATTGATTATTGACAGATGTAGCTATGCAGTTGTAATTTTTTCTCCTGGAGATATGAGCAAACATATCTTTATCACGTTTGCCCCGAAATCGCTGCTTGTTGGAGTGATTTTCACGCTTTGAAACCACAAATGTTCCTGGCGCTCACGATAGGAGCGTGCTCGTGAAAAATGGCGCCACGTGACGCATTCTTGCAGTTCCGAAAGCCGGCCACTTGTGCCACTCTTTGATGGTTGAGGGTGCCGCTGTGTGCCCCGTTAGCTCTAAAAACCACGTTTAAGCGAGCGCTGCGTGGACAGCCATTTTCAACGAAGGCTGCACGGGTGTCTCATGTTCTTAACAAGCGCGCCTCTCCGAAATTCCATTCCGAAGCAAGGAACTCAGCCCTTCTGCTCCTGTGCCAGTCCATAATAGAGACGTCCCCTCTTTTTGTTAAAAAAAGTATATGAAAAAGTTTTTTGAGTGGTCAGAGCGCTCGCAAAGATCACCGCTGCTGTGTGTGTCTCCTTCCCTCGTCGCGTGTGGTTTTTCCTATTTATTGGTTTTTTCCCTTGAGGCCAACACACTGAGTACGTTCCCCCGTCGCAAAAGGGCAAGCTACCACCATCATGAAGCGCAAACTCGCCACGCAGAGGTCAAGATTGTGAGTGAGTCTCACAATTCTGACGTCAGTGTGAAGTAGAAAAAAAAAACTGAAATAGTGCTTGTCGTCCAGGGAGATAAAAGAGACAGGGAGAGATATGACAAAGCAGCATGATAGAAAAAAGGGAGAAAAAGAGGTTCCAACTCACGAAGAGGAAAAGCGTTGGTAGCTGTGGCGAACAGCTAAGGAAGGCTGCCATGCAGAAAGGTTGGATGTGAACGCTACTTGGAAAGACCCCAGCCCAGCAGCGTGACACCACGGCGCATGGAGTCGTCGAGCTCGTCTTGAAATGCCATTGGCGTGAATGAGGTCACGTGGTTAGGGGGCACATTCCTACGCTGACCTTCGTGTCTTGTCACACTGCGGCACTCGTAGTGGGTTCTGCGGTGCGCTGCTAACCAGTTCGCTTGTACAGTTTGTAAAAACGGCACGAAGAGGAATTATGTTTTCTATAAAGTTAATCGGCCTACTGTGCTGCTTAACGGTGGCAAACTGCGTTGACTACGATATCGAGGACCGTGTACTCGTCCTCAACGACAGCAACTTCGATGCGGCCATTAAGGAGCACAAGCACGTGTTCGCCATGTTCGGTGAGTACGGAGATTCTGCCCTCTCGTTGTAATTTCCGTGTCAACAGAACAGAATGAAAAGAAAAATGCCATCGCTTTTCCTACGCTGCGCGGCTGCTGCCTACTGGACTACTGAAAAAACGTCCCATCGTTCGGTGGGCATACAGCGTAGGTCGTGAGCTCACGTGTTGGTTTTCTTAAAGAAAGCCAGTGTAAATTTGTGATCGGTCAAGCAAATGGCGTTTTCGTCCATCGAAGTAGATGTAACAGTTCAAAGAATAAGGATGGCTCCTACAGGGACAGCTTGTAGTTGGCCTTCGTCACGCCGTAGAAATTTAATCTAACGGCCTCGGGGAGCCATGATGATCACAGCTTCTTGCTCGACATTGAAACGTATGGCTGATCTTCGCTGGCCACTTATGTGCTTTGACCGGTGCCTGCAATGCGCTGTCGCGAAATCTCAGCAGGCGTGCAACAGCTGCGCCAATTGGGCCAATATGATACAAATCCCTATTTCTGCCCATACCTAAACAAAACCAATAAATTTGTTGTAATAGCGCTAGGCTCTGTCAAATTAGCGAACCAGCCTCGGAGTTTTCTCGATACCGGTAATTTTAGCAAGAAACTTAGAATGCGCTAAACGCCTGTCGTTCGAGCATCATCCAATCTAATGCAATCTAACCATGGAGACCAGAACCGTAACTACTAGTTCAATATGTCCTAACCTCACCATGAAAGAAAATAGAAAAGAGGGTTCAGTGCCCGGTATCCAAAAATGTGCAGAGTCTGAAATGGCCAAGTAATTCTCTTGCGAAACAAACGTAAAATGTACTTAACTGTTTGTGAGTGATGCAAACATGTCATTTTTTGGTACGAAGTTTCCTACCTTGCGCCACTTTCTAGAACTACATTATTTCACTCCTTACCTCTTCATCTATCATTTACCATTATTAGGCTAACCGTAGATCTACTTACTCTTTTGTATATTTGACTCCCGACTGAGGGCCCCTCTCTACTTTTTTATCCATTTGCATGAGTTTTAATTACTACTCCATAGCACAAACAAAATACAATACAGCCTGAAAGGCAGCCCCTGTCTATTCTTTAGCAGTAAGAACTTTCTAACGTTTACCTTTTTCACGCACTCCAACTGCCCGCGACTTAAACGCTCAACGTAACAACAGAGAGTTTTAGAATAGCGCACCGCGAGCCCTTGCGGTGCGGACGCTGCCACTGCGCAGGCGTCGTAACGTGAGTCGGCGTTCGCGTTCGCGGACCGCACGCAAAAAAAAAAGCGAAATAGCGTGCAGTGATAGCAGCCCGCATGTGGCCCGCAAGCGCAGGTTTCAAGGCTACGGTTTCGCTGCGATCGTGCGTTCCTATTCGCAGCCGGGGAAACGCTATTCTAAATCTCATATGGAACCCGCTACGCCCGCAACACCCGCATCGCTTACAAACGGTATTTTAAAACTCTCTATTGATATAGAAGCAGCCGAATTAGTTCGAAACACAGGCGTGCGCAACTCGTCAGTTGACAGGTAACGGCAAAGCGGAAGAGCTACCCCTTGAAATCAGAAAACCTCCGACCTTATTTATTTATTTTGCCCCCAGGGCCCGAGGGCATTACAGAGGGGAGTGGAGATGCACATAACAGAAGCAGTGTAAAACAGCCCAGAAAAAACTCACAGGAGATAAGTGAAATAAAGTAGGCATAAATGACAATTTATAAGAAAAAACGTATACTAACAATAATAACCTTACATATACACACATATATAATATATATATATATATATATATATATATATATATATATATATATATATATATATATATATATGAGATATAACAGACAGTAATGCCAAGGAATGTACAGGGGAAGTTATTAACATTAATGGAATGTAAATAAGAAGAAAGAAAAGTGGATGAAAAAATTACCAACTGTAAGCAGGAATCGAACCTACGACCTTCGACAAGATCTGGGTATGAATGAGTCATGAAAACATTTGGTGTGACATGATGGAACTGCAACTTTATTGCGGTGATCAATTCGAGCTGATATGTATGATGGCCTTGTTAATAATTTCTGTTTCAGATAGCTGTTGTAGTAATTTTTGTGAAAATGACATAATGAGGCTACTGACCTGCGTCAAGAAAGAGGAGGGAGTGACAAACTTAATTTCATGGCGGTTACGCTGCTTGTTCGGTGATAGTTGGCGAGTATAAAACGGAAGGCACGGTTCTGCACAGCTTCTAAATCGGAAATGAGAGATTCAATGCCAGGGCTCCAGACAGATGCAGAATACTCTAATTTTGAGTGAACCAGTGTTTTATAAAGCAATAGTTTTATTGAACTGGATGTATGAGAGAAGTGCCTGCGAATATAGCCAAGCATGCGGTCGGCGTTATTTATGATATAATGAATGTGAGTTTTCTATGACAGGTTAGAAGAAATGTGAACACCTAGATACTTATAAGAGAGTACAGTTTCAAGAAAAAGATTGTTAATGTGGCAAGTGGAAGCTGGGCTAGAATTTCGAGAAATGTGCATGTGCTTACACTTAATATTGTTTAGTTTCATGTTCCAAGTGTTGCACCAGTCCATGACCTTGTTAATGTCAGATTGAAGGCAAGAGACATCGTTATTGTCGTTAATTTCGGGATAAATAACACAATAATCTGCAAAAAGACTAATTGAAGAAGCAATATTAGTTGGTAAGTCATTTATATAGATTAGAAACAGAAGGGGCCGAGAACGGACCCCTGAGGTACACCAGAACGGACATGTAAAGGATGTGAGTCAATGTTGTTTGCTGTTACGAATTGTGAGCGGTTTGAAAGAAAACAGTTTAACCATGCAAGTACCATAGAGTCAATGTCAAGATTACGTAGTTTAAGAAATAGAAGTTCATGCGAAACTTTGTCAAAAGCTTTCGAAAAATCCAAATATATACAGTCTGCCTGAGATCCCTGATCGAGGATGCAATGAAGTTCATGCGTGAAACATCTGAGTTGGGTTTCGCATGAAAATGACTTACGGAATCTGTGCTGGGCTATAGTGAAAACAGAATTCGATTCTAAGAAAGAGACGAGATGAGAGTCTATGACGTGCTCCATGATTTTACAAGGTATACTAGTGAGAGAAATGGGACGAAAGTTGTCAGGGCAATGTGTATTTCCAGACATGTGCAGAGGAATCACCCTCCCAACTTTCCAATCGTTGGGAATACAACCTGTTTCAAGACATTGTTCAAACAGTTTATCAAGAATTATGGAACAATACAACTTTGTATGCATCAAGAATTTGGAATTGGTGTTGTCAATGCCACAAGAAGAAATTTCAAAATTTTCTATAATCTTCTGAATGCCGGATACGTCAAAAATTACAAGGTTCATAGGAGGAACTTCAAAAACAGGGTAGTTAAAATTATCGCAAGAAACATCATTAGAAAAAGCTGCCGCAAAAACATTGTTGAGAAAGAAGCACATTCGTGTGACGGGACTGCAACACCATCAGTAGATGTAAGTAACAATGTGGTGGTGTATTTCTTGTTTATTACATTCTAAAATTGTTTAGGATTGTTAATAAGCATAGCAGGCAAAGTGTGGTTGTTGAACGTGTACTTGGCGCTCTTTAATGCAGCTTTGTACTCAGCAGCCACGAAAAAATAGGATTCCCATTGCACCTCGGAGTTCATAACCTTTGCAGAGCGAAACAAACGTTTCTTTTTATTGGACAGTCTTTTCAAATACTTATTAAATCAAGGTAATTCTTTCTCACACCTCAAAGATTTGAGTGGCACAAAAGCGTCAATAAGACGCTCAACAATACCCTTAAACAATTCCCAATTAGTGTCCACAGAGTGCAGAGAAAACTCCCGCAAGTAATCATCGAGAAAAAGAGCTAGCTCACGATTCATCGCGTTGTAGTCAGCACGTTTATAGTCTCCAATATAATTTTTTTCTGATTGATGTGTTTACAGACAGGAGTTTCAAGATCAAAATGGAATAACGAATGATCACTGAGACCAGGTAGATACACGAGTGATGAGATAAGATGCGGTACGTTAGTTGGAACAAGATCTAAAATGCTGGATGTGGCTGAGGTAGTCCGAGTAGGTTCAGAGACAAGTTGTGACAGGTTGAAGTCTAGACAAGTCATCAAAAACTTGTTACATTCAGTCGAGAAAGGGCTAGGATAAGGCGATGCATTATTTCACACAATCGAGGGGTAGTTGAAATCCCCAGCCAATATAGGAGTGTTGGGAAAACGTACAGTGATCATGTTAAGCGCATCATGCAATTCATCAACGAAAGTGGGACACGAAGACGGGGGACGGTAACATATGCCCAAGATCAACTTCTTAAAACGTACGCAAAGCTCAACCCAGACTAGTTCCAGGTTACTTGGGGAATTAATAGGCAACGCAACAAAGTTATCTGCAACAGCTATCAAAACACCACCGCCACACTTTTGGCCTCTGTCGAAGCGGAATACGTTGAACGTCTTTTGCAATCAAACAATTCCATACTCGTTACCTTCAAAAGAAAGACATGTTTCAGTCAACAAAACAACATAAGCATCACAGGAATCGATTATAGAGTCAAGTTCATCGCGCTCTCGTAATAAACTTGTAATATTTGTAAAAAGAAAAGAGAGAATTTGCGGTAGTAGGCGCTGAACCACTGCCCCTCGCGCAACCCTACAGCGCAGGGTGACATCACGGGTTAACTGCTGACTCTGGACCAGCGGACAAGCAGAGCAATCAGTATGCTCAGTACGTGACAAGGCACAGATACTAGAATCGTCGATATCGTGATGCGATGTCTGTCCCCGAAAATTATTTTCCACAGAAACATGATCACGAGCTGCGCTGTAGCTATAGCACTGACCGTTAATGTACAGTTTGTTGTACCTCAGTTTGTGATGCGAGCCCCTATTCTTTGCAAATTGAAGCAGCTTTTTCCTGGCTTGGCGCGTTTCTAAAGAAAAATCTTCCCTTACAGTGATACCTTTATCC